TCAACACTCCAGCAAATGGGCCATGTTGCCGGACATCAGCATCACTTTGTTGCAGTTGGATTCTTCGCTTGATTATATCTCCCTTTCGGTTGTCCCAAAAAGGCGGGAGGTCTCAAAAAAACACAATAAGACCCAGCCCTGGATTTCAGAATCTCGAAAAATGGCTCTCGGTGCTGCTGTCCAAACCCAAAGTCAAGGAGTGATGCCACATCCTTTGCATCAGGAGATGCGAGCATCCCATCTGAATCTTAGTCACATTCGTAAAACTAGCCCTGATGTGAAATGGAATGTGGATGTGTGTTGTTGGACGGTGCCCTTTTTGCAGGCGGACTACCATTTTGGGAGGTTCGATCTTTGACACACAGCCATTTGGCAAGGGCTAGTGGACCAAAGCCACAATTTCCTTTCTGGCAAGTGAAGGGGACCAAACAAACACGGTGGAATTGCGACATCTACTTGGGTCGCTCCAAGCCCTGAGCAAAAGGTCGATCACCTGTGGCAGGGCTTTAAGGAAACCCAAAAGGGAACCAACCAACTTTTTGGGGGGTCGCCCTTGGGCAACTGACTTGGGTCTGTCTCAGTGTTCCTTTTGCGTGTTTTCTCTAAAACCACGCCAACAAGAGGTCTCAAAACAAGACATCTCAGGGTGCCTCGTGGTTTCCCTTCTTGAAACCACACCAAAAAAGTGGTCTCAAAGAAATCCGGAGCCACCCCCGTTCTTTCCCAAAGTCTGCTCCTTGGGCGATTCGGCAAGCATAAACCCACTCCACCCACTCCACCCACCCCCCCCACATCCCCCACCAACCCCCCCCCCCCCACACTCCCCCCCCACACTCCCCCCCCACCCCCCCCACCCCACTCCCTCTCCACTCCCCGCGATCCCCGCGACGAAATCCCCACGCACTACCCGCGCCTGGAGGAGGCCCTCCACCTGCAGGCGCCGCGCGTGGTGGGCGATGCCCACCGCCGGGCCGTGCACCGAGCCGCCGGTGCCCACCTCCGTGGGCTCGTGGTAGCCCACCTGGCAGCAGTGGGCCGTGGGTCAAAATAGGTACCCAAAAAAGATAGAACGGACTCTGCCAGGTTTTAGGTTTGACTAAAATGGCCGTGGGTCAAAAATGGACAGATTTTAGTCTATGTTCCAGATTTTAGTCTATCTTTCCCAAAATGGAACCCTGGCAAATGGAAAGACAGACTAAAATCTGCGGTCCCCTGGTGGCTTAGTTTTGATCCACACCCAAATGACAATCATTAAACTTTAATGAATGGACACATGGACCAAAACCTGCGGTCATCCTGGTGGTTTCATTTTGAACCATAGACAATTCATTATACACCTGAACATTGCAACTTGTAAATGGGGTTGTTTCCCTTTATTTTGGTTTTGAAAAAGCAACATGTTTCAAATGGTTGCAAACTGTATCTTTTGAGGAGCCCTGAATAATTCTACGGGTTTTTGTACTACACCCTGGGAATACACCCACTGGGTATTGACCCCATCTAGGCACATCTCCGGATAAATCCGTGTTATTTTGAACCATTCTGGGTCATGTCCCAAGGGTGCAATCCCAGGGTGTAATACAAAATAATAAAAGCAAATAAAGGGAAACAAGATACGGAATTAATATCTCTTCCCATGTCCTTCGTTCTTCATCATACGTGTCTTACCGAAGGGAAATGGTGATTGAAGATAAAGTAAGAAGACATATTTCATTTATCTCTGTAGGAACCTTGGGACGTGGGCACGTGTGAAAATCCGCCGCCGTTGCATGACCAAATTTTGAAAGTGGTGAAAACTGGGACGGTCTGTCTTTTGCTTGAATTGAGGACTAGGGCGTGAAATCTCCAAGCCACCAATCCAAAGAACCAAGCAAGGATGATCTCATAAAAGGCACCTTTCCCATTTGGCTTAAGTGGGGCGGAACAAACACACTCGCAGGAATAGGCGGCTGCTCCCCGACCCCCATGTTTGGCAACAAAGTTTGAAAACAAGATATGTGTGCTCTGCACACAAAAGAACATCCGCATGTACATGTAAACCTGACAACATGCATGCGCGCACGCACGCACACACGCATACATGTATGCATGCACGGGTGCTTGTGTGCGCCTGTGTGCACGAGTGCGTGCGTGCATGTGTGCATGTATTAACATGTGCATGCGTGCACGTGTTCGTGTGTACGTGTGTGTGTGTGTGGCTGCATATGAACGTTTGTACAGGTACACGTGTGCGGGTGTACGGGTGTAGAAGTGTATGCATGTATGTGTGTACGTGTGGCGTGTACGTGCGCAAGAGTGTACATGTGTACATGTCTGTTCGCCGGTATGTCTGTATGGCTGTATGAATGTTTGCGAGTACCTCTGTATGCATGTATGTCTGTATGCCCGTATGCCTGCATGTCCATATGTCTGTATCTCCTGTATGTCTGTGTGTCTGTATGTCTGTGTGTCTGTATGTTTGTGTGCCTGTACCTCTTTGTGCGTGTCTGTCTGTGCGTTT